ATCTAGCAGGAATCAGAAGTGTAGACTCCGTTTTAGAACTACTATGTATTTACTGACATTCAGAGGAAAAGGCTGGGAGGAAATATATCAAAATGTTCACATTGTTTCTCTCCAGGTGGTTTTCTTTATTCTTTTCTCCCTTTTCCATAGTGAGCATATATAACTTTTCGAATTCTCAAAAACAAATCAGTGGAATAATTATGTAAAACATAAAAGTGAAATTCCTAAGTGGCAAGGGCTGACAGGCGTCTGTGGGTGGCAAGCGTGTTCTGAGAGCTGAGAAATAGGAATCGCGGCGAGGAGACTGCGAAGTGTCAACTAACTCTCAGGCGCAGTCGGCCCAGGTCAGACACTGGGCACTTGGGAGCTCTGTCCTACTCTCTGGGTTTGCGCCTCTTGCCAGCAGGACCCCCAGGTTCCTGTCCCCCACCAGACTTTCTCCCGCCCTCTCTCCTAGGTCAGCTTGAACTGGGTCTGCATGGAGCCCCCCACCCCTCCCCTCTTCCCAAGGACGGTGGTTGCCCCCCAGCCCGGGCCCGCAGCTCACTCGCCCTATGCACGAACTGCACCCGGAAGGTGTCCGAGTTGGGGTCGTTGCGGTCCTGGGCATGCACGGTGCACTCCCCGCCGCCCGACTCCCGGCTCTGGAAGTACTTTTCCAGCTTCCATGGTAGGCGGGTGCCGGGATGCGACACCCGCACGAGCAGCGGGGACGGCGGGCAGAGGTTCGAAGCCATGGCTCTCCGCATGGGGATGACGCCGCGACTCGCGACGCCGCTGTGCCGGGCACTGGCAGGGGTGCGTCGGGCCCCGCCGCCCTGCAGCGCAAAGTTTCAGTTTCGCTTTCCCGGAGATCTCTCGGTTCCCGGCAGAGCCGCACCCGCTCCTCTCTTCGCTGCCCTCCCTGCCGCGGACTGCCGGGTGAGTAGGTCCCGTCCCCTGTTCCCGGGGCGGTGGGGCGCCGAGGCGCCCGGCTCTCCTCTCCTGCGGACCCGGGCGGGGAGCGGGCCGGGGAGAAGCGGTCGAGAGACGCGCCCGGGGCCAAGCCTCCCCTGGTGAGGATGGAGGCTGGGCAGATGCTCAAGTCAAAGAAAGTTTCTCCTGAGTTTTTGATTCCTTTTAACTCTTACTGTTGTTACTATTATTTGCAGCTGAAATGTAATTCATATTCTGAATTCCGGTTAAACTTACCTACATGTTTTAAAATTTTGAATTTGTTCACCTGCGTTGCGACACATCACGTGTTACCTTCTCTAACGCTATGCTTTAGACTGGCTCTTGGGGCTTTTCTGCTCTCATTTCTTGATTTGGCCAACAATACTGAACTGCATGCTGTGCCCTGTGTACTAGGGAATAAAGGTGAAAGGGGAGGCACCTGACCTCACCTGCTGGTAAGGTGAGGTAGACTTGTGACTAAAAAAGCAAAATCTCTTGAAGGCCTTGATAGGAAGTTTGAAGAAGAATCTTAAAAGAGAGAAGGAGAGGGAGGGATGGGGAGCATCAAAAGCACAGAGACCACTGTATCTGAAGCACAGAGGGGACACTGAGGCCTTGGGAAGCCGTGATGAGTAAGGGAGCTGACAGAGGAAGGGTCTAGATCAGTGCTGTCCAATAGAAATATAATGTGAGCTATATATTAATTTAAAATTTTTTAGTAGCTATAATTTTTAAAGTACAAACAGGTGAAATTAGTTTTAATTTTATGTTATTTAGCTCACTATAGCCTAAATTAACCATTTAGGCATGTAATCAATGTTAAAAACTTATTAATGAGATATTTTACATTCTTTTTTGTCATCCTGAGTCGTTGCAATCCAGTGTTTATCTCACATTTACATCACCTTTCTGTTGTGATTAGCCACATTTCAAGTGCTCAAGAGCTACATGTGGCTAATGACCCACACTGGACAGCACAGTTCTAGACGGTGAAAAGTCTTCAAGATCGGTAACGAGATATGGCAGGGCAAGCAGGAGAGTGACATGTCAGATGTGCATTTTAGAAAGCTGGTGTTGACAATCATGTGAAGGACACATTTCCATGCAGGGATGAATGGAGGTGGAGAGGCCAGAGGTAAGGTTTTTTTTGCACGTGGCTGGTAAGACTGGAAATGGGTGAGTCTTTATGAAGAACAATTTGGCAGTGCTATCAGAATTATGACTGCATATACATCCCTATTCTGCAGTTCCACTTCTAGGAATTTGTCCCGTTTATTGATTAGCACCTGTGTGAAGTGACCTATGTACTAAGTTGTTCTTTACAGCCTTTTTTATAATAGTAAAAGATTAGAAACTTCTTGTGTCCATAAAAGAGGGTACTAGCAGTTGAATAACTTATAGTGCATCTATGCAATGGAATGCAATGAGCAGTAGAAAGAAGGAAGACCCTCTCTATGTGCTAACATGGAAAGATCTCTAGAATACATTAAATGAAAAAGGGAAGATGCAGAACAGTGTGTATAACATGCTACCTTTTGAGGATGGGCACAGGCTCTGAAGAGCACTCTGACCAAGGTGAAGTCCCAGAGCTTCCTCCCCATGAGGGCAAAGACCCAGAGAGTTTGGAGAACATCGAGTAGTGCCATTTCGCAGCACTGTAGTTCCGCCGGAGCATTGGGTATGTAAAGGGGAGGCTGGTGAAACTGATATGGCAAAGAGACCCTTGAATGCCAGGCTGAAGAGCTTGATCTTTACCATAGGTGATGGAGTCTGCTGAAGGTTTTGAGCAGAGAGTGCTTTTCAAATAAATGCCTTCTTTGTGAGGAAAAAAAGATGCTTTTGTGTAAAAATGCTTCTGGAAGGACACAGGAGAAGCTAATAACAGTGATTGCCTCTGGGAAGGGAATTTAGTGAGGGGAGTAGGAGGGAGCCCTTTATACTTTGGAAATTTGAACAATTCAAACAATAAAACATAAAATTAACTACATTTAAATGTTTAAAAAGAATGTATTGCCATAGCTCAGGCAAGAGGCCCTGAGGCCCTGAAGTGAAGTGGTGTCAATGGGCAAGGAGGGTAGGGCCGTATTTGAAAGTGATTTAAGTGCACAGGACCCAGTGATTAGTTGAATATGGGACAGAAGAGAAGATTCTAGATTTCTGACTTGAGTGGATAAATGGTGTATCGTCTACCAAGCTGTGGAATCTAGGAGATAAAGCATGGATTTTGGAGGGGGTTGGGTGAGGGTAGGTAGCGGTGCGGGGAGTGCAGATGAGGAGACTATGGGTCCAGTTTTGCAGAGGCTGTGTTTGAGGGGACTATGGGACGTTCAGGTAGTGTTGAAAAGTGAGGCTTAGGAGAGCCATAGCCTAGAGATACAGATGTGGGAGTCATATTTGCAGCTGGTGAGTTGAAGTCGTGAGAGTGGATGAGATCACCCTTTGAGGGTGTACAGAATGAGCTGAGGCGTGCCTCTTGACAGAATCCTGGGACAGTTGACTGAGGCTGAATCCAGGGGAAAGGTCTGTAAAGGCAAAGTGAGAGGTAACAAAAGAACCAAGGGAAGATGGTATAGGAGAAGCCAAAAAGCAGAGGTTCAGGAATCAGAGAATGAAATGAAGAATGAAACTATAGAGAGAGGTCAAATAAAGATTAGGACAGAAGAGAAGCCACTGGGGTTAGCCACGTGGAAGACACTGTGAGCAGTTTCAGAGGAGGCTGGGGATGAGCTAGAAGTCAGACTGCAGTGGGCTGAGCAGGCAGGTGGATGGAGAGTCAACTCCTTCATGCTGCCCATGAAGAGAAAGGAACATAGTAGGAGCCAGTGATGGAAAGCTGGGAAGGCTTTTGTTGTTATTGTTGTTGTTAAAATAAAATAGAAGAGATTGAATGTTTTGGACAACACGCTCCTTGTTTCTAATTTCTTTGGGGTTAAAAGAGTGTCATCCCCCACTGCCAAGTCTATCACAGAGCCCTTGAAGCCTGGTCTGAACAAGAGTATACCCAGAGAAAACCATAATTCAAAACAACACATGCACCCTATGTTCATAGCAGCACTATTTACAATAGCCAGGACATGGAAGCAACCTAAATGTCCATCAACAGATGAATGGATAAAGAAGATGTGGTACCTATATACAATGGAATATTACCAGCCATAAAAAGGAACAAAACTGGGTCATTTGTAGAGACATGGATGGATCCAGAGAGTGTCATACAGAGTGAGCTAAGTCAGAAAGAGAAAAGCAAATATCATATAATAAAGCATATATGTGCAATCTAGAAAAATGGTATAGATGATCTTATTTGCAAAGCAGAAATAGAGACATAGACATAGAGAACAAATGTATGGATACCAAGGGGGAAAGGGGTGGGAAGGGGGGGCTTGGGAGACTGGGATTGACACATATACATTATTGATACCATATATAAAATAGATGGTTTCTGGGAACATACTGTATAGCACAGGGAACCCTACCTAATGCACTGTGGTAACCTAAATGGGAGGGAAGTACAAAAGGGAGGGGATATCTGTGTGTGTATGGCTGATTCATTCCGTTGTGCAGTGGAGGCTAACACAACATTGTAAAGCAACCATACTCCAATAAAAATTAATAATGAGAAAAAAAGAAAAAAGAAAACAAGTGCAACATCATCTAAAGAAAAACCCACTGGAAGCCCACAGTGGGAGCAGATGCGGCAGTTTTCCTTCTTTTGTGAAAACAGCAGTGCCCTCTGGAGGCAAAAATGCATCTTCTCCCTGCATTTTTGGATTATACTTGGACTTGCAGCTTTTCCTGACACGTAAAAATAATCCTCCTGCCAATGCAGGTCACGTGGGTTCGAGCCCTGGTCCAGGAAGATCCCACATACTGCGGAGCAACTAAGCCTGTGAGCCACAACTACTGAGCCTGCGCTCTAGAGCCCATGAGCCACAACTACTGACCCCAGACGCCTAGAGCCCGTGCTCCGCAACAAGAGAAGCCACTGCATTGAGAAGCCTGCGCGCCACAACGAAGAGTAGCCACTGCTGGCCGCAACTAGAGAGAGCCCGTGCACAGCAATGAAGAACCAACAAAGCCAAAAATAAAATAAATAAATATTACCCCCCCAAAAAAAGAATGTTAGTGCTCTGATGCTGTAGAGAGTTGCACAAAATTTTCCTATTGCAAAGGCATCAGAAAGCATTTCAGAGGCCTCGAGGCGACTATGTGGAAACAAGTGTGGGCAACGGTGTCTTTAAGCGTTTTTATTATTATTCTCCTCAAAATTCACAGTCTTTAATTCCTACCTGTTTGAAGGGAAAATTATTAAAATGTGTTTTCCCACGGTCTCTGATTTTTATCCAGACAATCCCCTTTCTAATTCGATCAGAGATATTTATCACAAACTCAGTAACGTCCTCCACAGGCATAAGCACAGTTCCCTCTCTTTGGACACCCTCCAGGGGTCTTCACTCATTCAGGCTGGTTTTTCCTCATTGCTCTTTGAATGCTGTGCTTAGTTTTACCATTTGGTATCATTATCCTCTTCTAAATATGTAAAAGCCTGCTTTGTCCTTTAAGGCCTGGCTCTAGCCTCACCTTCCTCATAAAGCTTTCCCTGCTGTAGCCCATACAGTTCTTTCCCTTCTTTGAATCTCTCTGTAAAGGATAGAGGGTAAACAGTAACAACAGCAGCAAAAGCAATGTGTGCGTCTTCACCAAGTGAAATTAAAAATCACTCAAGATCAGAAATCTTGTATAGTCTTCCTGTTGTGTATTCTCACCAAATTCCCTAAGATGCTCATCATATTGCATCCTTCTATTCATTCCTAGACGGGGGCCGCCACATTTGGGAAACACATAACAGAGTAAACATTGAAAGACCCCAGAGACCTGGAGGATGGACTTTTCCAAGGTAAAAAGCGTAAGTGTATATAAGTAATAAACTTTGATCAGCACGTGAACAGTTCTTCCTGTAACAGCAAAAAATCTGGGGTCTTCAGTTATAACTGGCATTCTTATTTGGTTTTACTCTCCCAATAAAAGTTTTCTCCTTGCCCCATGCGAGAGATGGGGACTCAAGAATATGCTAGTATAATCAACAGAGTCAACACGAGGATGGGTGATTTTTTAAAAAACGTTGTCTCAGTATCATTTTTATTCTCTCTACTCATTCAGCAATTCTGCTTTTGCAGCACGCGGGGAGGAGGAGGATGGAGGAGGAATAAAAATAAGGGACTAGGGAAAAGGCATCTCATTTGTTTATCCTGAAAATTCCACATTCAGGCTTGTATCATGAAGTAAGCAATTGAAAGTGGTAGATGGGGAGGTGTAGCTGATGAGGCTCATGTCCCCATGTCTTCTGTTCTGTCTAGAGAAACCCCACAAACCTTTGGAGATTGGATCCTGTCTGAGAGTTTTGGGTCATTTTGGTCTGTGACCTTTGAGCCTTTTCAAGTGGTAATCTCCAGCCCTTCATCCCATCCAGGATTAAAAGTGCATTGGCCTCTAGGGAAGCAGGGTAGAGTCAGTGTTGGCTGGAACATTTAGTATTTCAGGTATTTCAGGCACACTGATTAAACAAACAAACGTGTTCCCCTTCCCCCTCAAACCCAGTGTTCTTAGGAAGGTTTCTGTTGCTTTGTGTTTATGAAACGGTATTTGTCATCAGTAATCTGTAAATCATCCGGTCTCAATTTTTCTTAAACCACTCTCACTTTTCACAGGGTGTTGGAGCAGCAGCTTACAATGAGAAATCAGGTAGGATCACCTCACTCTTGTCTCAGAAAATCTTTGCTCATATCTTTCCTCAGTGGAGAAAGGGGAATACAGGGGAGCTGATCTCCCCCCACAGATGCTCAGGTGCGTGACTACAGGACCTTGTGGGGACCGGGCATATGCCTCAGAAGGGGGACTGCTTCGGAAGCAGTGTGGCACCAGCAGATGTGTTCCCTTAGGGCTCCCGTTGATCTTATCCTTTGCCCACAAGATGTGAGATCCTTCTGACCACAGCCCTAGAACTGAAACTGTTCATAAGAGGTGACCCACTGATTGTCTCCTTGCTCAACAAGGCTTGCAAGAGCCCAAATGGAACCTGCCTAAACTTGGGTGGCCCACTTGAGATTTTCAGCCAAAGCACAAGCCTCTTGGCTCTGAATACTCATGTGCTGCTGCTTTTAGGTAATTGTAATTGAGGTCACCAGAGGTCTTTCTAGGTGGCTCAGATTAGAAATGGGAATTGAAGTAAAAAATAATTACTACACTATAATCTGTTTTAGGGCACACATTTTTTTCACATCTCTGAAGTAAGGCTACTCTCTACCCACTGATAGGTTTAGTTGGCATCGTTTTTCCTTTCTCAGTGGCATATAATAATGATGCCTTAGACCCCATGAAATACACTGGCACATGTTGGGTTCTCCAGGACATGGAAACTGAGATGGAGTTAGGAATGCAGAAGGTAAAAGGAAAAGAGAAGAAACTGGATTGGGCAGGTGGAGCCATCAGACGGTAATGTAAACCTGGCGAAGCTCTGCCAGTCCGGGCTTCCCTGGTGGTGCAGTGGTTGAGAATCCGCCTGCCAATCCAGGGGACACGGGTTCGGGCCCTGGTCCGCAAAGATCCCACGTGCCGCGGAGCAGCTAAGCCTGTGCGCCACAACTACTGAGCCTGCGCTCTAGAGCCCACGAGCCACAAGTACTGAAGCCCGTGTGCCTAGAGCCCATGCTCTGCAACAAAAGAAGCCACTGCAGTGAGAAGCCTGCGTACCACAACAAAGAGTAGCCCCTGCTCACCGCAACTAGAGAAAAGCCCACGTGCAGCAACTAAGACCCAATGCAGCCAAAAATTGATTAATTAATTAATTAAAAAAAAAAAAGCTCTGCCAGTCTGAGGTTGCTCATTGGCGGAGTCTCACATTGGACATCAATGGCCTTGTTCAGCCATTGATGGGAGCCGCCCTGAGAATAGGGTGACCTGGGTTGGAAGGCTGAGATGGGCCCTGAAGGGCTAACAACTGGAGGCTGTCAGCTAACCATACTGCCGCCTTCACTGAAGGGGGATCTGAACAGCACATCATCTTGCTGCCACATGCAGTAAATAATTTTTAGCCAATCAGTTTTTTGTTGTTGTTGTTTTAGCGGTATGCGGGCCTCTCACTGTTGTGGCCTCTCCCGTTGCGGAGCACAGGCTCCGGACGCGCAGGCTCAGCGGCCATGGCTCACGGGCC